AAGCACAAATAGTTTTTTCAATGAATTAAAAGAAATCAATGGTATAATTATCTTTTGTATATGTATATATATTTTTTCTTTTCCCTTCCTTCTTTTATCCACCCCTATTATCTTTCATTTTGAGCAGTTTCTTTCCCATTTACAATAACCACTATAGATTTTAGATCTTCTTTATTTTTTCAGTTTCTTACACTATGGAAACAATACAATATTTACACATGCAAGTTTGATTTATTTCACTTTTGAGTATGGTTTCTAGTTGCATCCAATTACCTAAAAAAGCCTCCAGTTTATCCTTCTTTACAGATGAATAATAATCCATTATATAAAAATACACCTTTTTTTTATCCATTCTTCAGTTTATGGGTACTTGGATTGTTTCCAGCATTCGGCTATTACAAATTGTGCTGCTATAAATGTGGGTGCACAAATATCTCTGTGGCATGCTGCCTTTAATTCTTCTGGGAAGATACCCAGAAGAGAAATACATGGGTCAAATGGGACCTCTAATCCTATTTTTTGAGGAATATTCACACTGATTTCCACAGTGGTTGTACCAGCGTACATTCCCAACAGTGCAGAAGAGTTTCTTTTCCCCATAGCCCTGCCAGTATTTTTTACTGGTTGATTTGTTGATGACAGCCATTCTTTCTGGAGTAAGATGGAATCTCAATGCTGTTATAATTTGCATCTTTCAAATGACTAATGATATTGAATGTTTTTTCATATACTTCTTTGCTATTTATACTTCTTCTGAGAAATGCATATTTATCTCATATGCCCGTTTTTGGATTGGTTCATTGAATTTGGGGGGGGTCTGATATTTTTCAATTTTTTGTATGTTCTAGATAGAAGTCTTTTGTCTGAGGGACAGTTGGCTAAAATTTTTTCCCACTCTGTGGGTTTTCTTTTCACTCTGTTGGTGATTTCTTCTGATGTGCAAAAACTTTTTAATAAGATGAGATCTCAGTCATTGAATTTTTGAAGTACTTCTCATGCAGTTTGGTTTTTGTTCATGAACTCTCTGCCTACCCCTATGTCAAGATTTTTACCTAATTTGTCTTCCAGTAGATTTAGTGTTTCTGTTTTGATACTTAGCTCTTTGATCTGCTCTGACTTTAGTGCATAGTGACAGACATGGGTCTATTTTTAGTCTTTGGCATGTGGAAAGCCAATTTTTCCAGCACCATTTGTTAAACAGGCTCTCTTTCTTCCAATGAACATGACTTACTCCTCTGTCAAAGATAAGGTGACTAAGCGGGGTTGAGATAAGGTGACTTGTACTTGTGTCTGCATCTTGTAATCTGTTCCATTGATCCTCAGGTCTGTTTTTTTCTTAAACCTGTACCATGCTGATTTTAACACAGTAGCTGTGTAATATAATTTCAAGTCAGGGATTATGATGCCTCCTGCCTTGCCTTTGTTGCCAGGATTATCTTTTCTATTCTAGGTCTTTTCTGTTTCCAGATGTATTTTGGTAATATTTTCTCTAGATCTGTGAGGTATCTTAATGGTATTTTGATTGGGATTGCATTAAACCTGTATAATAATTTTGGAAGTATGGCCATTTTCACAATGTTTGTTTTTTCTATCCATAAGCAACGGATATCTTTCCTTTTTTCCCAAGCTTTTTATCTCCCTCCTCTGGGGTCACACCCAACCAAGTGTATCATAAAAGTATACAAACAGATTCTGTGTAAAGTTGGGCTTTCTATAGCATGATAATGATTCTCACTAGTCTTACATGGGTCTCACTGCAAACTCTCTCCACGAAGGGATAGTTTCTCCCTCAACTTACTCTTGGAAGGACACAGGCTAAACCAGTGATACTAGCTCTGTGTGGAGCGGGGAGAAAGGGTTAGAATGCAGGGTGATCTTCAAATTGTCTTTAATCTTTACCTGTAAGTGGGCCAATTTTTATAGAACCGATTACTGTACTCATTTTTTATATTTAAATGTGTAGTTGAAAACACTGGATCTTGCCTCCAGTCTGCGTCATCTGCTTCCTGTTCCCTGGCATCAGTGTGACCTCTGTTTTTCCCTAGCTCAGGTTTTCCAGTGCTTTCTGTGTTACTTTACAGAGACTATCCCAAAAACCCTGGCTTCTCGCTATTCTCACTTTGAAGTAGTACTTCAGAATAGTTCCTTTGGATCAAGAACATATATGAATAAATATATATTTATTTATATTACAGTTTTAACCTTACTCTTGCCTAAAAACATTTAAACTTTACTCATTCTTTTTTACTTCCAAACCTGCTCTAACATACATAATAGTAATAACATATATATGTTCAGCCCTTTTGAGTCCACAAAGAATTTACACTTTCAACTATCCCCAAAATAGTCCTCTGAGACAAGCATATTCTAGCCTACTTAAAGATATTGTTTTGCCATTTTTACCTTTTACATTATAACATATTACTCCTTCCTGGTGAACTGTTACTTACAGTAAATTGGAAAGGCTATCTTGATGACTCTCAACACTTAACTACTTTTTACTCTATTACGTAGCCTCTAAGGTGATATGCATATCTTCAAGACAAATAATAATAATAATAATACTAAACAAGAAATAGGCCTCCATTATAAAATGACTTTGCCTATAAAATGTGTCTGCTTATGTCAAGGATAAGAGGTGAAAACAGAGTTTTACAATAATTTTACTTTAAAAATTCTTGGATTTATGAATAGGTCAAATATGTTATCTACTGAGAATCTGTTTAGGAGGGGATAAGTATGTGTGTAGATTTCTGGCATTAAAAGGCCATGAGAGGAAATTTACCATAGCTTCTTAATTTGTCTGTTTTCTTGCCATCCCTTTCCCCCTCAAATCCATGTGCTGTAACGTGTCATTATCCAGTTATTTATAAAATACAAACATGACTTCAAAATTCCACCCTACAGGTAAATCTTTGCTGTGTCAGTATTACACCAAGTCATCGGAATTCCTGATGTACGGATTCTTTAAAAATGTGGTCCATCCTAACTTTGTATATCTACCTGCACCTCTGCACCAAGGACTCTAAGTTCCATTTGTACAAAGCAGCAGAGTGACAAATAGCCTCTGAAACTGTCAGGTGCTGCCACTCCTCCACGACTTTGTTCTCCCTCTGCCCACTGACAAAGAAGGCCTATGCCCTTCCCTCCTTGTTCAACTTCTATCCATCCATTAGTGTCCAGCTGTAATTCCCCCCTCTGTAAGACATTTCTAGCCAGGACTAACAATTCCCTTCCTTCTGTATCCCTGAGCATTTGACTCACATAAATATAGAACTCATCACAACACACTTTGAGTTATTACCCATAAGCTTTTCTTCTTTTGTAGTCCATGAAATCGTTAAAGAACAAGACCATATGTGATTATCTTTATAACCTTAGTGGTTACCAGGGAGTCTGTTAGTCATTCACTTTATTTTATCAATGAATGAGTCATTCTTTCACAAAACGACCACTTTGAAAGAAGTTCTATCATCGCTATAATTACAGACCTTGAAAGGAGACTGCTTGCTTGTAGTCACAAAGCGACCCCTTAGAGATCACTGGTTTACTCTCTTTCTGAACCTCCCTAATCCAAGGCTGCTCAGTTCTCAGGAATTTGCTGCAAACTACCCACCTACCAGGAATACTTAGTGCTTGGCATTAGATAATTATTATTAAGTTGTCCATCAGCTTTCTTCTTGGGGGGAATCCTAATTTGTTTTATCTTTCTTTTCTCATTTTCTTTCAGTCCTATCAATTGGTTAACTATTACTGATGATAAATGAGCAATCTTGTTTGACACATGGTAGCAAATTTAGATGAAGCCCCCATCCTGGAGACCTGGAGGCATGAAAGAAATAAAGCAGGAGGACAAATAAAATAATAGAATTGGGGACAGGGAAAGTACACATGGCACCAGTAGGAGGGAAGGTCCATAAACAGATTGTCAAGAGAACAGTTTTAAAGTAAAATTTTAAAAAAAGACATCAATACCAAACAAGATGATGCTATATCAGGCATAATATAGTGCAATGGTTTTTACATTTTCTCCTAAGCTTGTGCAACTTGCTTCATAAGTTTATGATAGAGGCATAAATATGTACAACCCAACATCATATTTTTTGAGGTACCAGGCACTTGCACTTCTAGGGCCTTGCACGTCTAGTGGAACACTCTACCACGGAGCTACACCCTCAGCCTCCTAACCCCATTCTTCATGCTATAACCTATGTCTCTGTCACCTGAAGTTCATACCATGAAATCTTCACCTCTACCATGTCAATGGCTTTAGGAGGCAGAGCTTTGGGAGGTGATTAGGTTACAAAGGTGGAGCCCCTTATGAAGGAGGACCAAGGGAAACAAACCATTAACTCTTCCATCACACGAGTCACAACTAGAAGGCACCATCTGTGAACCAGAAAGTCAACGCTCATCAGACACTAAACTTGCTAGTGCCTTAATCTTGGGACTTCTCAGCATTCAGACCTGTGAGCAATAATTTTTTGTTATTTGTAAATTTCCAGGCTAAGGACTTTTGTTACAGCAGGCTGAACGGACTAACATACTTAGTGACTTGCAAGGAAATAGTATTGTACATTTATCAGGGAAATTAATTTGTCAAAGTTAAATTTTAAAAGGCTTACAAGGAGTCCTTCCTGGTGGTTATCTTCTTTCTCCTGAGTGGGCCCAACAGGAGCTCCTGCCCAAATGATGTTTTAACAGAGGTGTCCTAAAACAAGCATCACTGAACCCCTCAGGAAGACATCTACCATTTCTATGGCTTCTCATAGAGACGCACACCAAATTTTAAGCATTTATAAACAGAGACATTGGGAATTAAAAATAAAAAGAAGTAGGGGCTGGGGATTTAGCTCAGCGGCAAAAAGTGCCTGCCTGGCAAGCGCAAGGTCGTGAGTTCGGTTCCCCGTACCGGAGAAAAACCAAAAAATAAAAAAATAAAAAGAAGTCATCAAGAATAGATTTCCATAAAGATAAAGTATCAGTATTAAAGCTCATACCACAGTACCCTGGGGTTCCACACACTGTCTTCATGAGCACTTGATGTTCCACGATTTTAGAGAGTCCAAAATCAGCTGTTAAGACAAGAACAAACATCGAGTGAAGCAAGTCTCTCCACAGCTGCTACACACACTTCTGTTCTTTGCAAAGAAGCTTACTTTGTTTATGTGTTTGTTTGCTGTTGTATTTTATGGTGAGGTGAATGTGTTCAGGGACAAGGTACCTTTGAAAGGAAGCTACAAAAATAATTTAAGTTTTTAATTTGGAGGAATATAGGATTCCTGAACACATTGATGAAAACATTTATATTTAATCTTTGCTGTTCTCTATAATCTCCAGTTTTTAGGGAATAAGCTATTTTTTTCTTAAAATAACCAGTGTAATAGTGGTATAATGTTATTAATCCTGAGATTAATGTGACAATAACTATAAGGGATAATAAAGAGATATAATTCAGAACCTTTAATTCATTGGTGGAAATAAAAAAATAGACTTTCATAAATGTCATGGAAGTAAACAGATACATCAAAAGGCTTATTGTGATTGAAAATAAATAACATCAATCCCTAATGCATTTGACAGAGAAGAATTCACTCTCGTAAGATGAGTATAAGACCTTTTTTGGAAAAAAAAACTTTTTATTTATTTCTCAGAGAATTATCTGGGTAAGATATTATCAGAGTGGCTACATCATGATCCATTTGCTGGGCTCCACCTCTGTCCCTCAGAGGAAAACAACAGGAAACCGCTCAAGGCCATTCTTCAAGAGCGGCAGGTGCAGCCCAGATGCCGTTTTAGACTTCAAAGATAAACCCACATTTCCACGGAGGTGCCTGATCCTTATCAGTGAAAGCAGCAGGAAGCCCTTCAGAAAGAAAGGCTCTCCTGCTTAAATTAGTATCTATCCATTTAAAGACATTTCTTTAAGGATCAAATCTTTGAAAGTGATGTCAAAGGAAATGTAAACTCCCTGCTGCCCACTGGCTTTCAGGAGTGATTATGAGAACAAGCTGGCTGCCTAGCAGGACTCCCAGGGTTCTTCTTTAGGTCCTGAATTCACGAAGCAAATTCTGTTCCCTGAGCTCTTCTGGGATAGAACAACTTAATTCTCAAAGGTATTAACACTTGTAAGTGCAGTGAACACATCGGCTTGGTGCACCAGGACGGCACCAGAAACGCAATGGCCTTCATAGAGAGGACTTAATACAGGTTCTTCAACTAAGGAGAAGTCATCCAAGATTTTTTTTAACTTTTTCTTTTGAAATTAAGATTTGTTTTGGAGGTTATATGGAAAAAACATTTAATATTTTTTCCCTAAAATGGTGATTTAAAGATTTCTTTGAGTAGATCAGAATTTCTCCAAGTTTATTTGTTTAGTTCATCAAAATGTTTGGGAGAGGTTTAATAAATTTTGAGAAAAACCTGGTGGTACACTATATGTCATCCTGCACATTAATATTTTTTAAGGTTCTGAGAAGTTCTAAAGAAATTAAAATTTTGTTTGAGTTGGAATTTCCTAATTACTTGATTAACTTTAACATTTCTGCAAATCACTCAACAGCCCCCCATCATCCCTAGGGCCAAAGGGAGCTCTTCACCCTGCTGAAGCACCAGGGGCCTGTAGAGTACGTTTTGAGAAAAATAGCCTTTAATTTATCTCTGTTCATGTAAACAAATGATTCAGGGTCCAGAGTCACCAGTATGTACTAGGCATCTTATGCCATCTTGATCATCTAACAAAACCCCAAATAATTTGTGGAATTATGATATAATTTGTGGAATTATGATAAATGTTGAGATTTTTGTTTTTTCACTATAAATCTGTCTACTAAGTACAAGGCCATGTCCTGAGCTTCTCACGCCTGTTAAAAGCTGTGATTCTCATATGTGTCCAGCAATGGAAAACCAATGTCTAGTGCTAATTTACAGATTCATGTTCTAGGAAAATAAGCAGACTTCCAAAACAAGGCATCATTCCTCCAAAATGTCAAACAGTAGAGGAAGCTGGATGGAGGTGATAATGGATGGAGCAATATTATAAAATGTCACAGAACAAATTTCTTCTGCTCTGGGAAAAGAAGCCCTGAGACATCAGAAAATGTCATTACCGATTTTAAGTGGTGCATCTGGGGCTGGGGTGGCATACAGAAGATTCTCTGGCTTGAGGTCACGATGGACGATCCCATTTTCATGTAAGTACTGCATGTTGGGAAATAAGGAACATTTGTATAATTCTGTTTATGGTTCCAGCATCTGTATTTCCTGTGTTTCATCTTTTAAGAACTGTCATAAGCTTATGTGATTCAACAATGCACACATCATGATTTAAAAATAAATACCACAAAGGAAAACATGTTTTAAGTTATATACAGTAATGAGTAACTCACGAATGCTAGGATTATAGCATAGTGACTGAACACTTGCCTAGCATGCCTGAGGCCCTGTATTCAATCCCCAGCACATCACAAACACACACACACACACACACACACACACACACAGAATAATTATGAGTAGTTAACCAAACATAGAAAGCAATTTAAATTATTTGGAATTAATTCCTAGAATGAAATCTTTGTCCCTCAGAGAATATTAGAGTTCTTATTAGGTGTATTATCATATCAATCAGAATTGATTAATTATTATTATTACAATAAAGTCAAGGTGCTATGTATTGAAATTTGTCTAGTTTATATCTGAAAAGCATAGCTGAGTAATTTTAGAAACTTACAACCATAGCAAACTATTTATAATTATTGCTTGAATAAACATTTAGATGTGTTCTCGTACATAGGACTATCCTTTATAAGACACATAGTTTGAGGATGATGAATGTTCTCAGACTCTTGAGAATTAGTAAACCCAACTGTCAATATAGAAATTAAAAGTTATCATTCAGGTAAGTCTTAAAGATCATTTCTAGCAGCTCCACTCCCTTTTTTTCAGTATTTTGTAGAATTCTGTATAGTCACAAATTTAACATATTCTCATTGTAAATGCTGAAGTCCTTCCTGATCCCTATTCCCCAGTTCCAGTTCCTTCTTCAAAAGTATTCGTCAGTTTAATTCTTTTTTCAAAAGTTGGTTTGAATTTTTCTATACATTTACAAACATGAAAATATGTATACAAGATTTCCTTTATTTTCTCAACTTTCTCACTTAAATGTGTCTTTAATAGGAATTTTTACATAGTTTTTTCATTTAATATGTCTGAAACATTTTCTACCACTTCAGATTATTTTACTTAACCCTTGCATCTATTGTGTTGTGCATAATAAATTTGTGATATGTTTTGATGGTCATTCAAGTTGACTGCAATTTTTTAAAAATTATAAGTAATTCAGTTGTGTTGCTTAAGATTAACTGTCAACTTGACTTAAAAGATGCCCAGATTAGTAAACCACACTTTGGGGTGTGTCTGAGTGAGTCATGGACATGTGGCCTTCGGTACTATATCTGGTCTCTGTGCTCTTTTCTTCTGGTGCTGTTTCCTCTTCTGCTTCTCGACCATCATGAACTGAGGAGCTCTGTTCTATTTCTCCCTTCCACCATAGTACTTCTTCCCTGTAGCAAGTGAACCATGACTGAATTCTCTGAAACCACAAGCCAAACAAAGTTGTTGGGTATTTTGTTCAGCAACAGTAAAGCTACATAGCAGTGATAAATTAACTATCACTGGCATATTTACATAATTCTGCTGGTATTTTGATAGAACGGATATGTAGAACTGATTTGGTAATGGAGTCAAAAAGTACACAGAATTTTTACTTTAATGTATATTCCAAGATCATTATTTTCAATGGCTCCACCAATTTTTTCACTTATCCAAATGTGTGTGTGTGTACATCTGTATTTATGTAAACTTTTTAAAAAAAATCTATAGTTTTGTCTTTTATTGAGCTGGAATATAGAATGGAGTGTAAAGATTGTTTTAAATTTGATTTTATTTGTCTCTCTTTGTTAATTAGAACAACTCAGCTTTTTCATATGCCTATTGATCCTTTAGTTTTTATCTTCTGTGAATGGGCTGTTTGTTTCCTTTGCACATTTTTCTGTGGGATTAAGAGAAAAAAGTGAAAGTTGTGAGTATGCTGAATTCTTTCTCCTTCCCTAATTCACGTATTTCTGTGGGATTAAGAGAAAAAAGCAAAAGTTGCCAGTATGCTGTTATTCTTTCTTCTTCCCTAGTTCACGTGAGAAGGCAGGGAATCCCTTCTTTCTACTCGAGTAAAGTGGTGACAGTGATGGTGATGGTGATGGTGATGGTGATGGCGATGTAGCTGCAAGATCACCTGATGAGTTGAAACAACAGGAGGTGATAACTGGCTCACTCTTTAAAAAACAGAAAGATTAGCAGATAGTTGGAAGAAGTGAGAAAGGAGAGGGCCTCAATGAGATTTATTTATTCTCAAATAATAGCTGGAAAAGGATATATATTTCTCATGGGCCCAGTGTGAACTCTGCAGAAGGGAATCAGGCTTGAGCTTCGTTAGAAAAACTCTCTGTGGAATTCTTTCCTGGCAGGTGACATCACCTCAGCCTCACAGGAAGCAGTGTGAGAACAGGCAGCTGAGGAGTCACTGATTCTTGAGAGGAACTCGGATGACAGAACTACCCTGCGATGGAAGGGTCAATGTAGAAGCCATCCATGTGTCCTCTAACGGAAGGAACACAAACCTACCAGCATTATTATATCTTATACCTATAAACTTATTGAATCTTCACTATAGCTCTGTGAGGCAAATCATGTAGTGTTTGTATTGCAAATGAGGAAATGAAAGTGCAAAGAGGTTCTGAGGTGTGTAGTCACAACCTAGTACTGAAGGTGAGATTTAGACTTAGGCCTTTGGCAGTGGAGCCCAAACACTTGCTATTACACGATGCCCCAGATGTTGCTCAAAAAATTTCTTGACTGATTCAGAGGAAAGGATGACAGGAAGGTAAAAAGGAAGAAGTGGGGAGGGTAGTGGAGGGGGAAAGTAGTGAGAGCAGAACGAGAGACCAGAAATGAGACAGCGACAAGACTATAGTTGGCTTTGCTTGCGTGATAACCAGAGAAAATCTGCCTTATCCCCTAGGAGGAAGACATGATTTCAAGGTCAGAGTGGAAGATGGAAGGATCTCGTAGCTTTTGAATATACCTAAAAATTGCATAGTTTGAGGCCAAAAGAAGATATTGATCCTCTCACCCCAATTCTTACCTAATTTAGAAGCTTCATTGCTTTGGAAAGAAATTGACACTAAAAACAGTAGCAAATGAAATGACATGGGAAGCTTGGGTTTAGCAGAACACTACATGAAGATTCTCAACCCACACTGTTCTACCTTTCTCATACAGAAATCATGGTTGTGTTCTAAGTGCAAACTGAACAACAGTAACAACAACAAAATAACAAACACAAAAGGAAATGATGTGGAGAACTAGATTGGATAAAAGAAGGAAAGTTTTAGATAATATGATTTGTAGCTATGCACTGCCTGAAAACAAATCAAAGCAGCAAAATGACAAAGGTCATAAACTGGTTTTTAAAAAGACATGCAGGGATAATTTGCTGTAAATTATTTGGTACGGAAAGATTACTAAGGGCCATCCTGTAGTCACATACATGTGTGGAGAGACACACTGAAATATATTTGAATGAAAAAGTCACAGACGCCATGACCTCATTTTTTCTAGATCCACCAGTCACCTCTGACTAATAGCATTTCTGCACTTTACATTATCTTAAATCAAGAAGCCAGGAAGAGGGAAAATGTAGAGTATGATCCTTTAACTTCCCTCAAGGAGACACAATCATGAGAAGCAGGGAACCTATTTTAGAGTATACATTCTCAGCAATTCCTTACATTAAAAAAAAATTGACTCTAAAGAGGGTGTGCCTTTGGGTGTTGTACCCATTTACTGTATTAGTAGTTTAAACTGAGAAATTTTTAAAAAGCTTATTCATTTTTGAAGTGGTACTAAATTTACAACATTAACATATGCACATTTTCAAGATGGGGGGGGTCTCATTTTGCCCAGGCTGGTCTTGAACGTGTGGGCTCAAGTGATCCTTCTGCTTCACCCTCCTGCACAGCTGGGACTACAGATGTGCACCATCATCCCCAGCAGTAAAATTAATTGTAATTTCTAAGGTAAGAAATTATTAAGTAAGGTGATACTATTTCACAGTTGTGTAAATTTCATTAATTTATGCCTTAAATAGTATCCAGCCAGATTATCATATCTGCTTCTGTATTTATTTTATTGTAAAATCACACAGACTCTGCAAAATTCTACCACACTGTCAGAAGTAAGGGGAAATGCCTTCAGATTATGATAAAATAGTTTGGATATCACAGGGCTTCTGAAAGGGGCTCAAAGATCCCCTCAACGGATCCCAAGACTAAGCACCTGATGATACAAAAAGAGGTTCAAGAGTTGCATGATAAGCATGCTTTCTTTTATTTTCAAATCTTTCAAGCACTAATCTCATCTCTAAGATCACTGCGTTCAAAGAATAAAATCAAGGAAATGTGAGGAAAATGCTTCTCAAAATCATATGTATGCATGGGAAAATGTGCACAGACATTTTATAATATCAGAAAGATAATATTTTATCAAGGTAATTATGGGCAAATAATATTTTATCACAATATTGATTTCAGCTGTAGATTATATCATGAGGATTTAAAACAAATAGATAAGAACCCTAGAGAGAACAACCATGATACCAGGTATTCCCGAATAAACTAAGTGTTAAAAATAATCACATGTAAAGCAAACCAAAGAGAAGCAAGGAATCAAAATGAAAATCTAAACAACTTGAGACACTTATAAGAGTTATGTTAACCTAACAGTTTAATAAAGAAAGAAATAATAAATCTGACAACTACAGTGTCTCACCACTAAAGGTTTTTATCCTGATCAGTGGTGATGGTTATTAAAGACACTGGAAGGGCCAACGAGTGTGCACAAATCAATGAAAACTTCAATGGATAAAAAGGAGGAGGAAGAGTCAGAGAGGCCGGGAACTATAATTTACTGATTCAAATTTTACAAGTGGAATACGCTTTTAAAAAAGTATATGATGACCGTTGTAAAATTAGCCACAGTGCAGTGAAGATAGGAAACACATATATATTTTAAGGATTTTATATTAATAAATTCTGTGTTTGGTGCCAAGGGCATATCTTTGTTGAATTCAGTTTCAACACCAC